ATGGAGGGAGACACGTGTGTGGTCTTTTCCATGAAAGCAGGAAGAGCCAACAGTTAACATCCTCACTTGTCCCATTGTTATATTTGTCCTCAGGGGGGATATTTCTGTCAGCCCTTCTATGTTGATTCCAAAGGATGATATAGGTGTCTCCCTCCATGTCTTTAATCAACACACAATGTTATCTTCCTCCAGCTCCGGCCCTGCATTTGTTTCCGTGACTGTTTCACGACTCTGCCGTGGCCACTGAATGGCATTTCGGAGATGAAAGAGCACTTGGTGCAAATGTCGTAAAAAAAAAAGACGAGACAGACAAAGAGGGAAAATGAAACAAGAGGAGACAAAAGCGACAAAGAGAAGTCTCTGGTTCAGGATCTGAAGAGGAGACATCAGTATGTGTGGGCAGTGTTAAATAATTTACTCCTCCGTGATCAGACCCTATTTAATTAGGCCTTGTTCCGCCGATTTAATCAGGCCCTCTTGGTTGGGGTGTCGGGCTATGAACTGTGAGGGGCGAAGGAGCATCGTATGCTCACCTGCTGCGTGATCACAGCGGGGCCTCAGGTAGAGGACACGGGGACACGTCCTGCCGGCTGGCTGCGGTTATTGCTAACAACTCTAACAGGGCACAGCGGCGGACCCCGGTGACCCTACAGGCCTGCTAAAAGGCTGCCATATAACACCTTTAATGGCTTCGTTAGCCTTTTAACTACACTCCTCCAAACAGTTTTTACAATTATCTTTTGTATGTGAGGGTCCGATAGGGCTGCCTCCTGAAAGCCGGTGAGTCGGATCATTCGTAGGTGGCCACTTTTTTTTAAAGAGGCTCGATCTATGAGGAACTTTGTGCTCTTAACAATTGAATCATAAACACATTGGTTGAATAGGGAGGACAGGGAGGTATGTGGGTTCAACAAACAGCAATGCTTCAGCCAGGAGACTGCTGTTCATTCTTCATGAGAATCAAGAAGTCAATGTTGATGTTTCTGTCATGTAGCTTGTGTCATGGTTACTAAACCTAACTGAGTATTTCATAATGTTTCATAAACCTTATACATGGTTTTATTACCTAAATCTAATTTAGTTTCCTGTGAAGACAGAAGTTTATTTTGAAAAGACCGTATGCATGTAACGTGTTGCTGGCTTTCATATGAAAATGCACTCAATATGAGAGATAACTTCTTGTAGGATATCGTAGGAACCGTTGTATGAGGAACCGTTGGTCGGTGAGGATGTTACTGAACCGTCCCTCCTCTACCTGTCTGAGGATTAGTGGCAGCATCTTTATAGCTGGGATCCTTCTGGAAATGATAGCAGGAGAGGTAGGAGTGCATCTAAGAACTGTATTGCCCAAGGCTAGTTTAGAGGAACTGCAAGCTGCCAGAGGATCCAATTTCAGGCCATTTCCCCACTAAAAAAATGGTCTGAAGTGGAAAATCACCCCTGATGGCCCACCAGCATGGCTTTCAAGCCCCTAGATGGTAGTATGAAAGTCTTTGTACGAATCCATTTTCTGAAAAAAGGGTTACGATAAAAAAAAGAATAAAAGAAAGGTTGGACAAAAGTCCAGATGACCATCTGTGTCCTTTAGTAGAAGACAGTGTTCTTGTTTCTCCCACATAGTGACGAGACGGACAACTTAAGCTGTTTTCTTTCCTCTCACTGCAGGATAGATGTGAATAGGCCGGTGGAGGACGTTGAATTTGTTTTTAAGCTCCACTCCCACGACATGCAGCCAGTGCTGAGGTGCACACTTTGATTTGTGACATGCAGAGAGAAGACGATGTGGAAGAGGAAGAGGAAGAAGAAGAAGAAGAAGAAGAAGAAGAAGAAGCAAGGAGGGGAAACAGAAGTGGAGTGTCCCGCTGAGGTAATTTGCCTTGGGTCTTATGGAGCTTATACTCGCGCTGCTGGCAGAGTATGCCGGCAGATGCGGGAAAAGGAGAAGATGTGGGAACAGCGTGAGAAGCCGGCAGAATCACAAGTGCTGTAGCTTTACCGTGTGGCTTCAGAGGAAATGAGAAAGAGAGAGAGAGAGAGAGAGCTGGGAGTGGAGTAGGGTTTAACTAAAACTCAAACAAAAGGTAACCGGGCGTGTGTGAGTGTGCACGGGGCACAGTCATCCTGGGGAAAAAAAAGGCTAAGGCCAATTTTCATGGGAGCGTAGCAGTGTTTTTTTTTGAGCACACATAAGCACCTGTGACACCTTTTGGCAGTGCCAGGAGCCCACACATCAGCTGCTGGTGACAGCGTGGCTGGCACATGCCTGAGGGGCTGGGACACTTCCTCTCTATAATTGCATCCCATGTCAACCTGTGACAAGTCGGGCTCAACCAGCACTAATCACCAGCCGCACGACCTCCACCTCCTTTGCCCTCTCGCCCCCCCCCTCAGCTTTCCCTGCTGCAGCTATCACCCGCCTATCTTTGTTGTTGTATCTGAGGGGGGGGCATTACGTCTTTTATCTCAGCACCTGATACCAATCAGTGTGACTCAACAGTCAAAGCACTTCTGTCTCATTAGTCCTCTTGTTTAAATCTATCTGTCGACGTATCCGTTTATTCCATCTGTTATTCTCACTCACACGGTTTACTCGCTCCGTTCTGTTTAATTGCATAATATTTGTTCAAATGAGTGCAGCGAGGGAGACGATAATAGTCCCGTCTATTCTTACTTGCTGGCTCGGGGATTCAAGAGCCTCTTCACACCTCCCGTGAAAAGTCTTGAGTGTGACTATGAGCCGGTCCAGTTAGCGGACGCCTTAAAGCAATGTACTTTCTGTGATTCAACACGAGGAGGCGATTCGTAACAACTTTTATGTGCGTGACGGCAAGTTTGTAAAAAAAAAAAAAAGTCTGTACAGCGGAAAGTCCTTGTGATCTTTGATAAGAGACATCAGTGTGTGTGTGTGTGTGTGTGTGTGTGTGTGACCACATCTTTGATCTCCGGTGAGTGATGTGGGCGAGTGAGTGAGAAAGAGAGCGACGTGGTGCTAGTGCCTCCTGCCTCCTGCAGATTGAGGTGAGAGCAGCCAGGTGGGCCCCGGTCGTGTCTGTGTGCCACAGTAACTGGATGTGATGGGTGGCCTCTGGGGATCTCTGCCTTAGAAGTGCTAAACGAGCGAAGCAGAGCAATCACGCTGTTCCTGTGTGCGTACACATGTGTGTGTGTGTGTGTGTGTCGCAAGCCCACACACACCTATATATATATATATATGACAGTCAGTTTTCTTTCCTGTTGCCACTGGTTCTGTGTAGGTGTGCATGTCCGCTATAAAGGACGCTGCATTTAACCCCCGGACTAAATATAAGCACCATGCGATGGATGATGAGATAAAAATAAGCCTTTAATGTATTAAATGTTGCCAGGTAACGCACATTTATAAACAGAAAATACTCAAACATGCCCGGTGATGTTAAGTGCTGCAGACGGTCCACATGTGGTGCAGCTGTAGTGCTGACTCCAGTCACTAAGGTGGTGACAACACACTGGTTCCACTCCCCCCCCCCCCCCCACATGTCTCAATGAGATTGTTAGCCCGATGCCCCCTGAAAGGGCAAACTCCCCTTCATTAACCAAAATGGAATTGACTTAATTTAATTAAGGTGTAAAAGATTTCCTCCCATGTGAGTGTTTGTGTGCAACAAACCCGAAGGCCCTCCTGCATACGAGAACAAAACAAACGACCGTCGCAGGTTGTGTTCTTGCCGCGGGGCCGAACGAGGCCCCCGGCAGTGACACTGTATAGAGGCCTCCGGTAGCACCCGGTGCCCTCGCAGGCGCCACCTGCGCCGAGGTGAGTGCCAAGGAGTCTCTGAGCCACTCCATCAAGCAGCCCCCCACCCCCCACCCCAGGGGAGCGCCAGCCAATGAATTACAGATTAGATCATTGTTACAGGATCATAACAGTGATCTAATTGCCAATTTCTCTTTTTTAATTGAATTTGGTGGAGTGAAGAGGCAGAGATAGGATTCATGGGACTTCGCGCGGAGCCGATTTGGAGTCGGCCCCCGCTGTTGACCGGACGCGACAGTTAATGAGAGAGAAAAAAAAATACCGGAGCGCGACATTCGGCTGCAAAACTGGGCGTTGACTGCAGAGACGTCAGGCCGGATATCCTCGACAGAGCTGCTGGTTCGGACGGAATCTCGTTTTTTTTTTGGAGCGTTTAGGGTGTTGGCTCACTGAAATGAATCAAATTGTATTGACGGCACTATAAATCACAGTTAAATCAATCTAACTGGGCTGCACGCGGTCCTCGGTTGATAGTCTTCAATTGCATTTTTAAAATGTTTTCAAACAGGAACTCTTCTCTTCCTTCTGCTGATGGCTTTAATCTCAACCTGCTCTCTGACCCGGCAGCAGCTTATTTGCATTTTCTGTCTGCATCTGTTTTCATGCATCCTCATCCTCGCACCTCCAAAGATCTCACACGCAGTCAAAAGAAACCCCAAGATGTAGCCGGGTGTCGTCTGATTATAGCTGGGTTTAATTAGATGAGATAAGTTGGCCCCACATCGCCTCCACAGACCCTTTGCTTGAGAGCTGACAAGCCCAATACATCTGCGCGGCCATGGTAATTGAGATGGGGAGGAGGAGGAGGGGGCTAGTTGGATGTGGAGGAGTGATTTGTGTGTGCGTGTGTGTGTGGAGGCATGTGAATGGGAGGGTGGAGGGGGGGGGGCTCCCTCTGTCTCTTGTTCCTCAGTACCTGTCATTGATGAGGAGCCAAGGAGAAGCTTCAGCTTGAAGCTGTCATCGGCCCTCTGAATCTGTCTGCCTCACTCTATCATCCCTCCCTCCTCCTCTCTCTCTCTCTCTCTCACTCTCTCTCTCCGTCTCTCTCTCCCTCTCTCTCCCTCTCTCACTCTCTCTCTCCGTCTCTCTCTCTCTCTCCCTCTCTCTCTCTCTCCCTCTCTCTCTCTCTCTCCCTCTCTCCCTCTCTCACTCTCTCTCTCCCTCTCTCTCTCCCTCTCTCTCTCCGTGTGAGTCAGCCAGCAAGCGTGTGCGCCTGTAAGGAATCCGCGCGACCGGTTCTCGAAAGGCGTTTTTTTTTTTTAAGCGAAGACGCCGCAGACCGACCGGGGGGGGTTGCAGGCAGCCCCGAGACCGACGCTCCCTCTCCCGGACTGACAGGCCAATCGCAGGCCACCGCTCGCCCTCCCTCCATCCACAGTGCTGTCTCTCTTTCTCTCTCTCTCTCTCTCTCTCTCTCTCTCTCTCTCTCTCTCTCTCTCACTAACTCGCACTCCCTCCTCTCTCTTTCTCTCTCACTCTGGTTTTCATTCCTTTACGTTCAATCCGTGCATCCCCTCCTCCTCCTCCTCCTCCTCCTCCTCCTCACACCTTTTGGTCAGAAGAGGAAGAGGAAGCCCAGCCCAGGGAGAGACGCTGAGAGGATGAAACTCTGACACGCCGACAGACCACAGGGAAACAAGAGCACAACTGTGAGTACAGCAGTCCTTTCACCTCTCACTCAGGCTTAATGCTGTCTCACTCTCACACACACACACACACACACACACACACACACACACACACACACACGTGTCCGGCATTTACTTCAAGCACACGCAGTGACTTGACTTCCACACACAGATCCACAACCGTACTCACCAATCCATCCACTGCTCAAGTGTCTTTGTCTCTTAGCACGCAGGCACACTAACAGTTGAAGAAGTGTTTTTCTGAGACATGTGCAGTGTGTGTCTTAATGTCTGCTGTTTGGTTTGAGCTTTGTCTTGTATTTAGTGCACAGAATGCAAACAAAAACAGTCCAGCAAAAGTGTTTCATACTTTACGATGTGGCGGGGGCACATTTTCCTCCCGCTGTAATGGATTCACTTTCACGCCACAAGTCAACATCGCATTTTCATGTTTTTTTGTTTGCGTCAGATGAAGATTCGCCCCGGCAATAAGCAAGGTCAACTGAATAATGTTCCTCACACTGCGCCTCCCGTTGCGAGGTCTTTTGTCTGTTTTTATCGGCACTAAAGGCATGCTGGATCTCAAGATGAGGGGGAACGTCCCTGTTCTTATCTCCCATCTTAAACGCATAAGCTGCTATAAGCCAATAGAAGAATGCGGGGTATAAAAAAAAGAAAGAAAGAAGGGGGGGGGGGGCGTACTTTCCTCTCAATGGCACAAGAATCCCCCTCTGCTTATTGTTTAGCGCTCAGCTAAAGGGGGGGGAGGTGTGCGTGCCGGGGCTGATCCGCGCCGTTTGCTGCACACTATTTTTTGATTATGTTCCCGGTTCATCTTCTGGCCGAGGCGATTTCCCATTTCCTTCTCCCATTTCGAGAGCGGGGAGTATAATGTGATAGCCGGCTCACATGCAGGGGAAGTGCAGACAGTGGATCTGCACAGAGGACACAGATTGCATTTCCCCCGGAGAATGCTCGCGCCGTATTAACGGCACTGGAGGGGCTGCTCGCCACTTGTCATCAGCTCCGCTGGTAATGCTAGCGAGAGAGAGAAGGGGGGGGGGGGGGTGTAGATGTGGTTTTTACAGCCACTCTCTCATTTAAAGAGCTCCCATTGGCCCTAATGCCACGGCTGCATCTCACCAGCCCCCATTGGAATCCAGGTTATATTACATTTGCGAGGCCCTGGATATTGTGCGGTGCCTCACTTTGCTCTCCCAAATCTGATGAGCAAATGTAGAAAATGAAAAGATATGTATGTTAAACACCCCCGCAGTATATTAGATTGGTTGTTGGACTACAAACTCCCGGGGTGAGAACTACGGTACTTGCATTTTCATGATGTGGTTTAACGTGGATCAATAGGGCTTGAAAATGGGAGTTGTTTCGTCCTGTTTCTCGCCATCTTCTATTTATAATTCGAATGGTTTTCTGGCATATTGAGCCGCCGTAGGTGACAAATATTTCCCGCTTTCCATCGCTGCTGAATCCGAACCAGGGATTGATCTCGACCGCTGGAGATGTGAAGTGACACGTCGGTGGCTCTCGAGGCCCAACGAGCCTCTGGTTGCCGATGTGTCAGCAAAAGTGAATGAAAAGCTGGAGACTCACTTCCTTCTGTGTCTGGCCTCGGCAAATTTACTGAACCCTTGTGGTTTAACACACACACACACACACACACACACACACACACACACACACACACACACACACACAATGTTAAATCAAGGTAAACAAGAAAATTATCTCTCCCTTCCTCCTCTGTAGACGCCTTCTTCTTCTTCCCATGCGAGGATTACTGGAGCAGGCTGATGAGTTAGAGTTGAAGTGATTCAGTGTCCTACATAAGAAAGTGAAACTCCACTGACCGCGCTGCTTCACCTATAAGCACCATCAAAGCGAAGGTATTCGCAGCACACAGACAGATTACAAAAGCTACATCACAAAAAAAAAAGTAATTTAAACTCTCTAGATTAATGCAACTTTCATTTTGGATGTGCCTGTGGCTTTCAGAGGAAAATTCCTGTAATTTAAATGCAGAAAAAGCCTGCTCCGCTTCTGACTTGGTCTCTGACCGTCGATTGAAATGCAGCCGCTCCACGTTGTACGTTTCATTGTTGGGAAATAAATTGAAGGGGGAGTTAATAGCCTTTTATGCCAGGAAACATATTTAATTACGTGTATCGTTCAGCGCAAAGCTTTAACCTCAGCCGTGTTGTTAATGTATAAGTCTGTGATCTTTGCAGTTATTAAACCGCTTGTGAAGGCTGGATGAGTTACTGTCGTCCCATATTCATGACTATCTGCTCGCATATCTGCACTTATCGATTAGACGGTTGGTAACCAGTCCTGATCATCAATGGAGATCCTTACGAGGCGAGAGTCAGATAGTCTTTCTGCTCTCCCCGAAGGCTCAATTACACAGCATGCATGAGGAAATGTGTGTGTGTGTGTGTGGGGGGGGGGGGGATCAGCTCCTGACAAGGTCAAATTATACAGGTCAGCTTCAAATCATTTTGTTGAGATAGTCAGTCACGTCAGAATGTATAGAGACACATTCGGAGAATCAATAAATGTCGTATGCTCGAGCTCTTTAAATATTTCGATAGCTCTCTGATTGAATGATGTCTACTAGAAGAGATGGTTTTGATCCGCTTCCTGTTTTCCTTCATTTTCTCTACCTTTCGGGGTATCGGGCTGCCAGTAATTGCACATCTTGAATAAATGAGTGCCGGAATTTACAAATTTGCCAACTTAACATTTAAAAACCACGTTGATTACAATTGCAAAGCACCATCGTATGTTCCCCAGTCTTGACACAAACGCAGTGGTACTTGTGCGTCGAATCGGAGAGGAAGTTGATGCTGTAATCGGTGCTTTGTGGAGCTGTTTGCTTTTGCTGGCGTTCGTGAGACAATGGGATACACAGCCTATTCAAAAACCCATGAACAGCACAATTCAATGATGAAGGACGTGTGTTGCAAATATTGAGGATTTTTTCACTTGGTGGAGAGCCAAAAAGCAGAATTGATTTGTTGAGTGAGCCCTGAGAAGGACAACCTCTCCTCAAAAAAACCCTTTTGTGAGAAAGATGGTAATTTGCAGGGCAAAGTGCTGCTGACAGAATACAGGAGGATTACTATATGACACCAATTGAAAGGTTTTGGAAGATATATATATATATCAACAAAAACAGTTTGATCTCAAAGAGTGGCTTCTGCCTGTAGTGATATCTATCCATGCAGATTATTTGTCTGGCTTTCAAGATATGTCTCCAAGATTTCCGCCTCCAACCCAATACAATGGAGGTAAATTTAAGAACAACGGACCTCATGCAGCAATGTTGTCTTATGCCGTGTTCACACCAAAGACCGCGCTGCGCAAATGGCGCAAATTTCGCCTCATTCGCGTGAGTTGAAGAGTGTCAAGATAGCCTATCAGCGTTGAGATGCTCCTCCCGTTATCACCGACGTCCTGCCGTTGTTAAATCAGGAAACAAATACTGTAGCCGTAGGTGTTCACCCAGAGCTCCACGATTCCTCATATTAGTAGAAACCGGACCAAACTATGTGTATAAATCATGTGGTACAAACAATCAAAACGACGCTGCTGTATTTACGCCTAGAAGATGTTACATTGAGTGTTGTTGGAGCTGCTACAATGTTAGCATAGCATAGCACCGATCGATCCGAGCTCCATTGACAAAACAAGCATTTTAAAAGTGATTTGTTTGTCGTCTTGCGGAGAAAACTAATAAAACATGAATTCTGCATCATTACGTAGTTATTTCGGCAAATGCTGAACCAGCAATCCAAAACTGTCAAAGAAAACCAAGAAGACCTGAAAAAAGTTACATTTGAGAAGCCGACCCAGTGAATGTTTGCAACGTTTTGCCTAAACCGTTTCTCGACTGTTAGCTCGCTGATACTCGATTCACCCGCTGATGATCCAGACTAACGAAGACATTTCTTTGCGGAAAGACACAAACGTCCTTTTTTCAATGCCGTGAGCGCCGCACGTGAAGTCTCCACTCACTTCCATGTTTTTAGGGTGGAGGCGGTAAGACTGATATCGCACTGCCGGGGCAAATACACCAAAACCATTCACACGGTTAGCCATCACTAGGGGATTGCAGGAAAAAAAAAAGTGTTTGTGTGAATTACCTTGTTAAAGTTGTCCGGGTCAGAAATGGCGCCGTAGACGGGATGTTTATTTAGTCCATTTTATTAGGAAGTTTATAGCGGCCCTGGGTGGGCTTTAGCCACTCAGTCGCTATTTAATCAGCCTCTACCCCGAGCGTTAACCTTCATTACCTCTCCGTGTCATTCTCTGCAGGGTCATGCAAAGTGTCATCAAATATTTATGATATTAATAACTGCCTTTAGGAAAAAGAAAGGAACATAAATAAATCTGCTCTGCAAAGCACACGATTAAGAAGTCCATTCCATTTAATAAATGGGTGAAGGGGAAATAAAAGGGCAGTCCTGGTGCAAAACGGTTTGGGGGGAGGGGAGGGGGCGTTACCAAACCAGCGACTGAAGATGGAGACGCCCAACGTGGTTCAGCCGGATGTTTCTTCTGTAAAAGAAATGTCTGCATTATGTGGTTGTGCGATAGTTCTTCTGTGCGCTTATGCAAAGCCTGAGAGGAGTCGTCGTTGTGGAAGGCTTGAGCATCCGCGGTCCACGGAGGGGGGGGGGGGGGGTCTTCTACATCGACAGACTGCAAATAGACAAAACACGCACACACACACACACACATGCGCACACATATGTACACAGAGTTGTTTAGCATGGAAGCCGATTGAGGCAGGGCCCGCCGTTAATTATCTGTTTTTTAGCCGAGGTCTGGTGACAGTGATTAGAGTGAGAGGGGTTTTTTTTTTTGGAAGAGTGGTGCACACACAGTCTAATGAGGGAAACTGGCCTCTCTATACAGCTCTCCAGGCACACTTGATCTGCTCTGTGGCTCTGCAAGTGTATGTGTGTGTGTGTGTGTGTGTGTGTGTGTGTGTGTGTGTG